GGCTACATGATTCACTCACACAGAGGCAGTAACATAGTCAGCTCTGCTCATTTGCGTCTTAAATGATCCCAGGGATTGCCCAGTGCAGACTTGGGCTTCCTGTCAGATCAATGTACTCTTAAGAGAAAAACCATGAGCTACAGAATGTATTTCTCCCGGTAGAGAACCTTTTCATTATCGTTTGGAGAGATAATGAATAAATATCTCTTGAGATATTTCATGTCTGTTGCAAATCAGGTTCCCAGGAACTTAGACCAGAAAAGGCAGGGAGAATGAGTTATCTGCCGTTATCTTTTAACACTCGAAGTTGCTTCTCTGGCAGTCTTTGAGAGGATTTTATCCCCCACTTAGGGAATTTTGTTGCTCTTCCAAACCAAACCAAAGCAAACCAACAAACGGGCCTGGGAACCCAATCAGTGTCAAGTTAAAATACAAAGCGAACGTCAGCCACTTTGGTTTGGAGTGGAGCGCACAGGTGAACAGCCAGCACCCTGATTTGGTCTCATGGATGTGCCAGCAAACATAAAAGGGACGCTGAGGGCTCAATGGATCCTCTTCTGTACCCTCGGGGTTACACGACAGAGACTGGCTGTTTAGAGACCCGGGTTTGAGCAGTGTTGCCTCTGGAGTTTCTTTGGAAACCACACAGCAACGCCCTTCATGCTTCCTTTGCCACCAGAGAGAGAGGCAGGTGGCTTCTGAAGATAAATCTGGTGGCAGGTGACTGACTAAAGCAGTGGCTTAGAAAACCAGAGAACCTGACACACCGGGTTCCAATGTTCCACCGGCCCTTGGGAAAGGAGAGCGCACAACCGAGGGGGAAGGACCGGTTGGTGGTGGTGACGGGTGAGGGGAAGGGCTTGCCTGTCAAGCAGAAGGAAATCACTGCTCAAAGACATAGAGGTGGAAAAGCTATGTGCATTGGTGGCGGTGAACGCACTGGTGGGCTTCTGGGGGAGGCGTGGTGCACAGAGGAAGCAGTGGCAGCGGAAATGAGATTAAAGGGACACACACCCTCCCTCTCTGGGCAGATGCCTCATGAGAGACAGGAGGAACCCAAGCCACAAGCAGCCACCCTGGTTTCATTTGAAATACCCGGAGAGAGGAGCCTGCAGACCATGGGCTGGCAAGTGCAGGCACCTGAGAAGGGCAGTGGCAGCCAAGGAGACTGGAGAGAGACGAACAAGAGGTAGACCGAACTTTTAAAGGAAAGAAGAAGGTGTACCCTCTAGCCCCCAGCTGCTCCTTGGAAAGGAGAAAGCACACCGGGTTGCCATCGAGCCGGTTGGCCCTCCTGGCAGTTGGGTGTTTTACAGAGGAGAACTTCTCTGTAGGTTTTTCTCGGTGGTCCTCTTTGAGTCTCTGCTGGGTGGATTTGAACTGCCAACCTTGAAGATGCTGGTTGAGTGCCCACTCTTTGCTCCACCCTCGGTACTTGGCAATTACAGGGAGGTTGCTTAAGAAATAACGTTGTAAGAAGTCCTCAAACTGTCAGTTCCAAATGATTATCTCTTGAAAGCTTGTGTTACGAATGTCTCCCCTCAAAATGTTTCCCCTCCCCCCTTCTCTCCATAGCATTGAACAAACAACTGAGACCCTGTTGCACCTGTCACCTGCTGAAGTTGACAACCTCAAAGAAGGAATCAATTTTTTGCAGAATAAGAGTACTGGCAAAGGCTACATTTTATACAAGAATAACAGCCACCTGAAGGCATGCAAGAATCTGTGCAAGCACCAAGGGGGGGTGTTCATGAAAGATATTGAAGACTTAGATGGAAGGTACCAAGGACCGTTTGCTTTCTCCTGGGTGACTGTTGGTAACTAGACTCGGCAGGGGATGTGTTCTCTTAGAAATTGTTAACGGTGTCAATCAGCCACACTTCTCTCTCTCCTACGTGCCAAAGCATTTCTTCTTGCTCATTTAGGGACTTTCTCGGATTTCAAAAGTTCGTCGAGCTTTGCTTCATTTCTCTGTCTCCTGTAAAAACCAGCTCTTAGCTCAGTGAACAGTAAGGCTCTATGGTATGTGTGGGGGAGATTAGTGTGATCTTCAGACACAATGCTCCTAGGTTTCCTCTTCCCTTTACCTAGAATGTGTGTGTGTGTGTGTGTGTGTGTGTGTAGGAGTTGGGTGGTGGTGGAAGGGGGCACTTTACTAAAGCCTCGTAGTATTTCTATGACACCATGGTTGCAATTAAAAAGAAAGAAAGAATAAGAAGCAGAGTCCCAATGGTCCCTGCCCTGGATAGTAACTCTATCGCTAAAGCTAGCATTGTGCCTCTCGAACGTGTCAGCAGAGGGCACCCACTGTCGATCGGCGCCACTCGTACTGGACGGGGGAGCCCTGGTGGTGGTGTGGGCTGTGCATTGGGCAACTCACCACACGATCAGCAGTTTGAATCCACTTGAGTCGAAAGAAGGGACTGTCTGCTCCTGGAATCCTAGTCAGAATTGACTCGATGCTCAGTGGCTTTGGGTGGTTGCCCCACAGCTCGCTTGGTTCCTCAGAGAGGAGGGCCAGATGCAGCAAATAAAATATAGGGTGCCCCAGGACCATTGAATCTCTGTAGACAATACATGTATACTTACAGAAGGATATATAAATATGTGATTGATACACATACATGAATGCTTGTATACTTGCATGTATTTAATATAAATATGGCCCAAGTGGGACATATTTTAGCTATCAATTTTGACTTCCTTCCACCTTCTAAGTGGATTTAAGGCCGGGATATCTCCAACATAGGACCATCACTGGTCACTCCTAAGGACCGAGGGGTTTTCTCTTCCAAGCGTTGCCGTTTGAAACTCCGATTTTCTTCTCTTCTCCCATCTCTGGTCTACCTCTCCTCCTTCAGTGGTTTTACACTGTGCCCACGTAGTCAGCCAGATACAGGAAGTGTAGAGTTGAACGGTTAATTTAGTGGTTAAGATTTTGAACTCTTATCCTCAGCTGTTTGGGTGAGAAGCCTGGCTTTTTCACTTTCCATCCCAGTGAGTTTGGGCCAGTTTTTTCCATCTTTCTGGATCTCAGTCAACAGGGTGAGGATGATACCATTCTCCATCTCGTAGGGCTGCTATTGAGAGGAGGGAATACTTTCAAACACATGAAGCGCTTCAGAAAATGCCTGTCGTATGCTGAACACTTAATGCAATGCTCATTACTCGTATGATTACACCAGAAATTTCATATGCATCTTAGGTCCACGTGACTTATTTAAAGGAACTTACTTTTTTTCTTTCTCTTTCTCCAACCCTAGTGATAGTTTAAAGACACGTGGACCTCTTGCCTTAATCCAAAGCCTCGGTGGGTGATGACCAGTCCCAGTTAACCTGAGATCATATTCTGTCAACTCTCCTGGACACCAGGAGCCAGGTTCACCCAGCGTTCATCCCATATGCAACGCATCAAGCATTCACATATTGAAACTGCTTCCACGGAAATTGACATACCACTCTACCCTTTGCTTCTCCAAATTTGGTTGCTTCTACTTGGGTTTTCTGTGAAGTCATTTATCTGAAAAATCTTTTTTCCCCCCCGAGGAAACATCAAGAGCAAAGGCCTACCTGTTAAGCCCTCCCTGCCTCAGTCATTCTGCTTCCTGGAACTTAATAGGCAAGACCAGCAAGCTGCATAGGCTGTGGTGCTCATTTTTAAAGCTTTAACAAATGTTTTTTAAAATAACTCTCCTGTGGAACTCTTGC